TATTATGAAAACAAACCTCTCTGCTGTCTATTGCATCATTCATAATTTCTATCCATCCTTTGAATGTAGCCACTTGAAACAAACATAAATAAGCTTTTCCGACATGATCGAAATTCATTCTCGAATTTTCCCAAGTGTAATTTTCCGCGGCGCATGCGATGCTGTCACCGATAATTTCATGATTGACAACTTCCTTATTATGATCTAAACACTAAAAAAAAAAAAAAAAAATCAATAAATTATATTTATTTTTATACACTTAAAAACAATAATTTTAAATAGATGACAAATTTTTTATTATTATTCTTACCTTAAAATATTTTCCGGCGAACAATTGAACACCCATAATGGCAAATATGAGCCAAAATATTAAACAGACGAGAAGTACATTAAAAATGGATGGTATAGCTTGAACTAATGCGTTAACAACAACCTGTCGCATTAAAGTAAATAATAATAAATATTTTTTAATAATTTATTAAAAGGGATTTAATAAACAAAAAAAAAAAAAAAAACATGCAAATATTTCTATATCTTTATCTGTATGTGTGTGTGTGTGGGTGGGTGTGGGTCGTGGGTGGGTAAAGGGGTTTATGTTAATAATAATTTTCATGCTCTTTTTTTGTGTGTGTTTTTAAAACAGTCTAAGAAGCATTTTAGTATCTAGAAAAGCCTGCTTTAACAATAATAATAATTTCAGTTTTTTTTTTTTTATATGAAATTTTATAACAATTTTTTATGAAAAAACAAAATAAAAAAAAAATGATATTTTTACTATGTTTAATAAATGCGTTATGTAGTCAAATCTATAAAAAGGAAACTACTATAATAATATAACAAATTTATGTGTATGTGGGGGGGTGAATGGGTGGATGATTGGGTGGATGAATGGGTAAATGGGTGGGTGGATGGGTGGGTGGGTCTACGTCTGTGTAAGTTTATTAAAAAATGAAATATATATAAATAATTTTTTTATTAATAAAGAAAAACCTTACCTTTGACCAAAGAAAGCATAAAAGCATAGCTAACGTGCATTTTTTTTTTAAATATACCTTACTTACCCTCATTCCTTGCATTCTAGACATGGCTCTTAAAGGACGAAGTGCTCTGAGAGTTCTCATTGTTTTGAATGCCTGAATGCCACCGGCACCACACAATGAGGCCACGAAGTTTATCAAGGAAACCTGTGTACAACCATTTTTACAACATCGCTGCCGCAATGTTTCAAATCAATCTAAGGTTTTTTTTTTTTTTTGGGTTTTTCGCCTCCATATTTAAAACAAGAGACATTATTTAAAAAAAAATTTCAAAGTTTTTTTTCTATAACTTTGAAATTTTTTTTTAATTCGAATATCGAAAGCTTTTTTATCGGCAGAAAAGCTTTTTTTTTTAAATCAGCAAATTTTCCCGAGAAAAAAAAAAAAAGGCCTGATTCGAAGTGGAAAAAAAATAAGTTCATGCAAAAATTTTCTTTTTTTTTTTGATTCAAAATGTTTCCGTTCGATTATAAATTTTCTTTTTAGTATGATAAAGATTATTAAAAACAATTGAAACAAATTTTATTTTTACAAAAAAATTCAAAAAAATATTTAAAGGGTGAAATGGATTTGGTCAACATAACAAAACTCAGGGTTGTCACGACAGGTTCACGTATATTCGCAGGACAAAAGGGTTCCCATAGCCGTTAAAATATATAAAAGAAACATTGTTGAATCCGTACGAATTTTATTAAAATATTTTTTTTTTTTAATTAATTAGAAGTTTTAGATAAAAGAGAAAAAATATTATTATTAATTAATAAACTTCGAATCAAACTCAATGGGAAAGAAAAAAAAAAAAAAACCATCGATATGCGACATATAAAAAAAAAATGCATTAAAAAAAAAAACACAAATATTTGTGCCCATTTTTTATTTAAAAAAATAAAAATTAAGACATTTTTTTTTTTTTTTTTTGAAATCGACGAATAAAAAATTATTATTTTAGACAGGAGGAAAACCTTTTTTTTATTGAGTAATGATGGGGGGATAAAAATGTCTTAACCGTTCAAATTATTTTTTTAAAAATTAATATAAATTTAAGCTTTGTTTCCTCCCCCCCCCCCCCCCCCCCTTTCCCCCCCAAATTAACGATTTTAAATAAATTATTTATAATTTTATATAAAGAGTGAAAAAAAAAGAAAAAAAATTAATACAAAAAAACGTTTTATTGCCACGTTTTTTTTTTTTTTTTTTAGCAGAGCACATAAAGTAAAGCAAAACGATTCTTTCTTATGAGCAAATGCGACAGATAATGAAGGCTTTTACATCCCTGGACCCCCATCTTACTTACTCTCATACTTTCAAAACGAGAAACGGCCCTCAAAGGTCGCAATGCCCTCAGGGTTCTGATTGACCGGAAGGCGGATATGTCGGCGGTTCCCGTCCGCATAACCACAAGGTTAACAAGCGACAGCTAATTTTTCCCAACAAACATTTTTTTAATTTGAATCTTTTATCATATTTTTTGACATAAAAAAAAAAATATTCACTCGAAAAAGCAAAAAAAAAAACAAAGAAACGGTCATTTGTCGTCATTAGTTTCCTATTTATTTAAAAAATTTTCATCCATGTTGCCGGTACAAAAAAACAAGGAAATGACAATTAATGACAAAACAACCCATTTGGCAAACGATTAATAATAATAATGATTCAACCCTTAAAGAAAATTTTATATTCAAATTTAAAATTAATTCATAGATAATAAATTGAATGATAAGAAAATGAATGAAACTTAGGATTCGCATAAAAATGTGGGTGTACGCGAGTACAAAAAAATTTTTTTTCGGATTTGTTTTGATTGATTGATTGATCAATCATCACCGTTTGTTACCGTCAAATTAAAAAAAAAAGAAAAAAAGAAAATTTTCTTACCATTACGATAACAAAATCCAACCAGCACCAAGCGTTAGTGAAATATTCTTTAAATCCTAAAGCCAACCATTTTATTAACATTTCAATAAAAAAATAACCGTAAAGATTCTATCCATGTAGTATAAAATATCTTGCAGTACGGGCCTTTGCTGCAAGTGAACATCTTCTAAGGCCTTAAAATTAAAATAATAATAATATTAATAAATAAATAAAAAAATGAGTAAGAAAAAAAAAAAAAACATTATCTGAAATTCTTACCAAAGCAAGACTACTTAAAAGAATCATCGTGATCACAGCTGTTTCAAAATATTTATTTTCAATTAATTGAAATGTTTTGAGACGTAAATTGCTCCAACCTTGCCAAAAAGGCGCATCATCGTCGCCGGCAAGAAATGGAAATCTTTTATAGCAATGATCTGGACAACAATCCGACGGATAATCTTGTAACATAACATCTTCCATATTAGCATCTATTATAACATCTATTTCCGGTATACTTTCACCTTCTTCTTCTTCATCTAAATAAAAATTGTTTTTTTTGAAAATGATGATTTTTGGAGAGTTAAAGAGTTATATAAATCGTGGGTTTCAATAGAGGACGAGGAGGGTTGTCCTCACCCATTTCTTCATCTTCTTCTTTACTCATATCTCCCTTTTCGTCTTCCTCGAACGTGTCGATTGAACCTTTATGACTTTCATCTTTATAAATTCTTTTTCTGTGACTCCCGTAGGATATGTTGCTATACGTATCCTCTTCGTTGTGAGTTATGTAGTCGCTTTCAAATCGATTGTCTGAATTAAGACCGGCATATGAATTACCAATAACATTGTTTTTATTATTCAAAGCCATTTTGCTTCTTCTTAATTTTTCTTTAAAATCCCCTTTTCGAAAATAAAATTGAATAGTTTAATAGTAAGTCTTACCCGCGATAATGATGATGATAATGATAAAAATATTTATATAACTACCGTGAATTGTAAATTCCATTCCATCTCCTATGGCAACTTCCAATTGATCTTTTGAATTCTTTTTATCCCTGAAAACCATGCCATCAACCAATATTTCATCTCCAAGTTCTAAATCCGTGTCTCTATCGCGTCCATCTGTAAATATATTTAAAAAAAAAAAAAAACGTTAAGCGAATAAAATTGTATTAAATATATATAAAATTATGATAGACAAGTTTATAAAACATTATTTGACGTCACACATTACTTATATCAATGATATAAACCTGTTTTCCAACCGAAATTTCCGCAGCCATTACCTGGGAGCCCTGTATGATCGCCGATTTGATTTGATATTTTCGCTCGGAGCATTTTCAAAAAGTTTAAAATGCTTCGTTTTACCCATGCGTTAAATCTGGATATTCTATTAAAAGCCTCAGCGATTTTATTTGTATCATTGTCAGCGGTGGGAGCAGATAAACTAGAGGAACCGAAATTTGAGAGTAACAAAGCCAGAAAAAGATTAAGGACCTGAAATACAAATGTAGGAAATGAATTACGAAAACTTTTTCTTTTTTTGATAAAAAAAAAAAATTTGAATAATATTTTAAAGTATTAATAATACTCACAACTAAATTACCAATAACAACAGTGGCCAGGAAAAAAGGTATGCAAGAATAATCACCCACAAGCATACAATCCCACATTGATTGAATCCATTCACCGCATAAAACTCTAAAAACTATCATGAATGAATGCATAAAATCAGTGAAATTCCATCTGGGAAGTTCTTTATCCATAAATCGATCGACATTATCTATGAATATAATTCAAAGGTTCAGATAACCTTTTTTTTTTATTTTAAAAAGAATGGAATAATAATTAATAAATTTAATTTTTACCCGTGTAATTTTTTCCAAAAAGTTGCATTCCCATAACGGCAAATATGAATATGATAATGCAAAGGACGAATGTTAAATTACCCAAAGCTCCAACAGTTCGACCCATAATTGAAATTAATAAATTTAACGTTGGCCACGATTTGGCCAATTTGAAGACTCTTAACTGAAAATTTTTACATGTTTCGTCATAAAAAGAAAAAAAAATTTCCCCCCTAAATATATGATTTTCATGAAGGTTTTTTTTTACTAACCAGCCTAAATGAACGTAACACGGAAAGCCCTTGAACGTTTTCCAGTCCAAGTTCCAATAATGACAAGGCCACGATAATAAAATCAAATATGTTCCAACCTTCTTGAAAATAAAATTTTGGACTCATTGCAATGAGTTTTAAAGTTGCTTCAATGGCAAACGTTGCGGTAAAAAACTATTAAAAAATAAAAATTTTGTTTGTTATGTTTTTGTAAAAGGATGATGACCCCCCCCCCGCATTAAAATTAAATTTTTACTTACATAATTTCCACTCTTCAATGCTCTGTCCATGTCTTTATCCATGTCGTGATGATCCAAAGCCATAAATAGTGTGTTAACAACAATACATAAAGTTATGAATAATTCGACGAATGGGTCGAATACAAGTAAGGCCACAAATTCCTGTAGAAGAAAAAGGAAAAAAAAAAATGTATTTCAATATAATATTAAAAAAAAAAAAGAAAAAAGAAAGAATTGTAAAAAAATTACTTGAAACTTGAGCCAGGCCCAACAGCAGTCCCAAACGCAAAATATGTCGATGCATTTCATACAAAGAGCTAATGCTCTGTCTCTCGATGATGGTCCTTCTTCATCTTCGTCCACTGGGAAATAATATGTCGCCACTACTCATTTTTTTAGTATGGTATCATAAGATTCAAAGATCACTTTTATTAAAATTTTATCAACTTTTTTTAAATTATTTATTTTTATTTATAGTAATTACTTTTACTTTATTTTGTTAAAAAAACGAACGGACATTTTTTTTCTTTTTTTATAATCGAGTTATTTTAAAATCTTATACAAATAATATAAAAATGTTTAGCTAATGAAAATGCAGACAAAATACGTCATCATTTATTTATTTTGTGTGAAAAGCTTTCTATTAAATATAAATATATATATTTTATTGCGTGGTAGTTGTGAAAAATATTAATAAAAAAAAAATTTTATAAATTTTTAAAATTGATTTTTAAAAAAAAAAATTAAAATATTATTATAAGAATTTAAAAATTTATGTGCAAAAGTAATTTTGTGCTAAAAAAAATAAATTTGAAGTTTTTAATTTGCGTACCGTAAATTTTTATTAATTTTCCTCTTTCTTTTCTTATATTTGAGTTAATGATAAAATAACGGATATCAAAGTTTAAAAAAATGAGAATTGATAGAGTAAAAGAAGAAGATTTTTGTGAGGAAACGTGACGACGTGAATATTTATCAAAAATAAGACAATTTTTTCCGCCTCAATTCAAATATTAAACACAGAAAAGAAAAGCAAAAAAAAAAAAATATTAGCAACAGTAACAGCACAAAATCTTTAGGCATAAAAACATAAAAATAACAAAAAAAAAAAAAAATTCAGACAGAAAGCAAAATTTAGAAACAAACAGACAGAAAACAATAAAACGACAGAAATTTGTTAAAATCAAATCTGGCCATTTAATTCGGACACAAGGAATTCACGTCCTGATTGATTTATTTATAATTAATTTTATATTTTTGATATTTAAAAACAAAAGTTAATATTTTCTACCAAATGTGCAAATATACAATTATTATTATTATTATGATTATTATTATTATTATTATTATTATTTAATAAAAAAAAAAACATTTTATTTTAATTATTATTTGATACTATGCATGCACTCCTACAGCTGAATATACCGTATATAAAATTAATAAAGCAAATTTTCCGTTATAAACAGCGTAAAAAGAAAAAGCACGTGCGTTTGTGTGCGTGGGTGTGCACGCGTCTGTTTTTTTTTCTATATAAAATTTATTTTTAATAATCAAAATAATCAATTACTTATTAATATGCAAACTACTAATTTTTGGATTTATTCGTCGAATAAATTATATTTTACGAGTGAATTATTATCATTATTTTTATTTTGAGTGAAAAATAAAAAATAAAATAAAGGAAATGATTATTTAATTTGAAAAAAGTGTAAAAAGTGTGTATATATCGTCTCCAAAATACATAAAACAATAATAATAATAATTATTGTTTTAATAAAAATAAATTTTTTGTATAAGAAAATCCTTATTGAAAATAAATTCGATCTCTCAAGTGATCTTTGAAAATTTTCATAATAATAATAATAATATTAATTTAATGAAGTCATACACAAATTATTACGTAAAAATAATAATTTTATAATGCCGCTTGTTTATCATATTTCGATATTTTGAAATTATAATGAAAATAATTATTATTAAAAAAGTCACGTTATTGAATGTTTTAGTCCAACAGCATAAATCAAATTTTAAGTATAAATAAATTAAATAATGATAATAAAAAATTGTTTTTTTGTTAAAAAGCAAAAAATTAATAACAATAACTATTTATCATAAATTCCATTCCCAAAAGCACAGAAAAATAAGAAAAGTATTTCAAAATAAATAATTTTATATAAATAATAATAGTAAGAAAGAAAAGGAAGAGGTAAGCGATACGTCTGAACGATCAATTTATTATCAATAATTACTAATTAATATTAATTAATGAAAAATAAAAAAAAACGATCATCCTTCAACCTGAACAAATTAAATATTTTTTTTTTAAACTTTGACCTAAATTAATTGACAATTTTAAATAAAAATGAATTTTGTCAATAATTCTGATATACGAGCATTACAAAATTACTTTTGTCACCTTTTTTTTTTTCTATAATAAATAAACTTATTAAAAAGGGTAAAATTATTATTATTCTTCCTGGAAAAATATTTTTTTATTTAGAAAAAAAAAAAAAAAAAACTAACCTCCGTGATCGCTGACCGTACTTTGTCTACCAGCTTGTTCTATAATATCATTTAATACCATGACGTCATTCATATCCACTGTCGGTTGATTATGCATTGGCTCTATAAAGGGATTATCTGATTGTCGACGATATTTTTCTTTGCAATTACCATCTTCGTTTTCTTCCTGTTGACAAAAAAAAACAAAAAATAAAATAAAATAAAATTTTTATAAGAATAAATAAATTTTTACTCACAATTTCTCGAAATTTAGATGTCGGCTGTTCCGTTATGGGTAAACCCCTTTGACTACATCTCAAGGCTCTATTTCGATCCCGTAATTGACTCTCTTTTGTTCTTCCTTTTCCGTTTCCACCGAAACTTCCCAATAAATCTCCGTGAGAAGTATAAGACATTCTACTTGCGTGAGAAGTGTACGACGAATGTCGAGAGCCAAGATTTGCATAAAACATGGGTACTACCATGGCGCCATTTTCTTCCGACATGGGAGTTACGGCATTTGAATCATCTGCATACGGCAAATGCTCCTAAAAAAAAAAAATATTATTTTGCTCCTCGTAATTATTATCATGCCCCCCCGTCACATACTTGTGCGTCGAGGTATGTAGATAAAACCAAAGGTTTTCTATCTCCTGTCGGAGGTCCAACAAATCTTCCGCGACCGGTTCCATTTCTAACGGTGAATTGATGAGACCCTCGGGAACTTCTTCTTACATTAAATGGAGAACCAGGTAAACTTAAACTAGTCTAAAAAAAAAAAACAAAAAAAATTTCCATTTTACATAATTTATTATAAATTTAAACAATAATAAAATAATTACCTGATGATATTAACAATTATTTTTTATTAATTAAATTTACACGTCATAAAGATAAACCGGAAACAATTATCAATTCAAAATATGGGGATTCAAATTTTTTTATTAATTTATTATTAATAGGTAACATTGGGAAAGATGCATACTTATATTACTAGATTCTAACGACGAATAAATTAAGGGTAAAAATCAAAATTATATTAAATTTAATTAAAAGGTTACATATATATTATTGGGGTTAATTGGCATGCATTTTCCAAAAAAAAAAAAATTATTTCATATGCATAAAAAACAAAACACATGACTTTATTTATATATTTATAATAACGAATATAATAATATATTTTCTGATAAAAATAAATAATAATTAATATTTTCAAAAAAAAAAAAAAACGTTCACAGGGATTTGTAATAAATCTATCATGCTATGGATGGTCGCAAATACTAAAGAAAAAAAAAAACAAATAATTTTATCAAATTTTTTCTTTTTTTTTTTTGTATGCTTGTGTGACAATGTTAATAAAATAGTTTGTCAATGTTAGAGTAAATATGTTTGTGTTTGTGTTTGTTTCAATACATGTATTAAATGTCAAACAAAAAACATTCAATTTCGACAATCACGACCACCATTTAAACATATGCATATAATAAGAACTCTTGTGTTCATGTTCGACAATAAAAAAAAAAAAAAAAGTTACATTCAAATTTTTTTATTTTGAAACAAAAGAAGAAGAAGCATTTGTCATAAAAACAATCGTACCTGAGACATTGAATCCTGGTATATAAGAGCACTTTGGCTTTCCATACCAGGAGTAGGATTGCGAATTCGAGGGACCTTAGAACAAGAAAAAATATTATTATTTTTATTTTATGAAAATTTTCCGATTGTACTCCAAAAAACGTCACACAAGCAACACAAAAAAGTTTTTTTTTTTTTAAGTTTCGTTATTAAATAAAGTCACGATAATAATAATAATTATTTGTTTTTCAAAACCATAAAAAAAATTTTCTTTTATTATATTTTGAATATATCGACGTGTATGCAAGAAAAAATTTTTAAAATATATAATTCTGTCATTTTGTAATATTTATTTCTAAAATAAAATAAAATTGATTATTTGAATTAAAAAAAAAAAACTTACTGCGCTGACTTTCCGAAATTTAGTTGCATTTAACCTTGACCTTTGTTCGCTTATTGAATCCCCTCCTTCTGATTGTATACTGATTCTTTCTTTGTTGTTATCATCATTTCCTTTTTCTTGTCCGACAAACAGTTCATAACTTTGCCATGATGAATTAGAAGGAGATTTAACAAATTCTCCCCTATCGGCTGCAGCGGCTGCTTCTGCTCTTCCCGCAGCAGCTGCTGCTCTTGCTGCTGCCCTGTTTTCTTTTGCTTCAGCTGCTGCTTCAGCCTCCTGAAAGTATAAAAAAATAGATACGTGTTAACCTCTGGTTCGTATTATATTTTAGGAATTATATATATAAATTGAAAAAATACTTACACGCATGGCTTCTTCCTCAGCAGCTTCTTCTTCTTCTGCTTTTTTTTGTAATTCATCGTATGACATGGCAACAATGGCTAAAATCAAATTCACTAAATAAAATGATCCGAGGAAAATAATAACGATAAAGAAAAGCATATGCCACGGTCCAGCCGATCTCAAAACCTTTAAAATTAAATTAAAATAATTAAACTTTTATACATTTTGTTTCTTTTTTTTAAAATAAAAAATCTCATTTTTGTTATACTTGTTGATATAAATTTTCCCAAAAATCCTGAGTCATGAGTCGGAACGAAGATAGAAAAGCCCAACCGAAAGAATCAAAACTTGTATAACCGTAGTCGGGATTAGGACCAAAACCTTGTAGGCACGTATAATTAGAACCGCATTGCCTGAAAAGAAAAAAAAATCCACATTAAATGACATCCATTTTTTTTTTTTTTTAAATAAATAAATGTATTTTTACTGACCCCGCTCCGGTAGAGTTTCCGCAAAGTGGATATTCTCCTTTTGCTTCGTTAAACAACCAGTTACCTTAAATTAATAAATATACATTTATTATTATTATTATTATTAATTTAAAATATTCATTCATTTAATATAAATTTAATATATATTACTTGTATTTTCGCAAAATTGTTTCCAATTTTCATCCGTTAAATTTCCCACCGAGCCATCCATTGGAAAATTTCTAATACATTTTTGTGTAAGAACTCCCATATATATTTGAAGTCCCATCAGTGCAAATACAGAAAGGGAAAACATTGTTAATATAATTACGTCTCGAAGATTTTTCACCGATTCTATTACAGCTCCAACGATAGTTTTTAATCCTGATTAAATAAATTTTATATAAATATATATATATATATATATATATATATATATTTTTTTTTTTTATTTACAACAAAATATTTTTTTCCTTTACCTGGAACTATAGCTACCGTTTTTAGAGCTCTTAATACTCTGAATGTTCTTAGAGCAGCCAAATTACCCAAATCTATACCCATTGTTACGTAACTGTAAAACAACACATTTTGTAAATATTGTTTTGTTAGAAAAAAAATTGTCGTACCTTAAAAAGGGGTTTTACCGTTTTTTTTTTTTTTTTTTTGTAATACTAAACTTAGGTAATCTAGTCTAAACTAAAATAATTTTATTTAAACACAAATATGAATTAATTTCTAACAACGAAATGAAATTATTAATTCAATTTATGTAAAGTTTAATTTCAAAAACCTATAAATATGATTACGTATCTATATCTATTTGTATTGTTACATCTAAACATTATCTATGTAAAAAAATTTATTATTCACCTTGTTTTATTATTTTTAATTAAATAAATTTACAAGTAAATCAAAAAAGTCGTCATTAATTATTTAAATTTATAGTTTACAAATACATAGTTATTTTGTTCGAAATATCGTAGATCGTAGTACCAACCAAAAGTATATCTAAATAGATCTTCTAACTAACTAACTAACTTCTCATCTACTCACGCTAATGAAATAACTATGAAGTCAAGCCAATTCCATGCGTCCCTAAGGTATGTGAAAGGTTGGAGGATAAACCCCCTGGCCATGACCTTAACGGCAGACTCGAAAGTGTAGATTCCAGTGAATATAACTCTGGAAAATTATAATTTTCAATTTTTCTTTTATAAAAGAATAAATTCACACCGGCGAATGAATATATATAACTCCTGTCCAAACTCTTTGTAAATAAATCAAATAAAAAATTATTTAAAAATAACACTAAACTAATTTTTTTTTTTTTTGGCTAAACTCTGAAAAAAAAATTCTACATTCTATTATTAATAATAATAACTAATTACGACTAAATTAAATAAATATAAAATTGATATTAAATGAATTTTATTTATTATTATTGTGGTACGTTAATAAAAAAAAAAGAAATTTAATATATTAAACAATGACACCAACAACAAATTTAAAATTATATTTGGATCTAAAACTAATTTTATAATAATAATGATACTCACTCGGTGGATTCCACGGCTGGAGTCGTAGGCATTATCATTAGAATACAATTGGTTAATATTGTGGTTATAATAAATAATGAAAATAATGGATGAACTAAAATATAAATTGCTACTCTTCTAATTGGGTTAAACGGATCCAATATCCACATGGCGTTTGTCGCTGAAAACCTAAATATGTCTTTTCCTTTACTAATAACAACAAACGTCTGAAA